GATTTTCAACTTCATTTAACGCATACATCAAATTGGTAACACTGAAAAACGTCTTGCGTTAGGCAATCTTCGGCAAACGGTTAATTGGTTATTTACAAAGGCTAACATCACGCATTTAAGTTTTTTTTTCTCCTACAGTTTTTCTGTAATTCTTAAGACTCGATGTTCTGTTTTCAAATTAAGTTAAGCCATGTGATTATTCAAGTGACGTATTCGCAAATGTTAAAAAATAAAATCCTATAACTGCGAAGCGTGCTGGTCTCACATCTGCCGCTACATTAATATTCATTTTCCTTTTTTATAATTCTGCAATTCGCTGTATTGTTTTGAGTGTTGAAATATTAGGTCTCGTTGCATTTACAAGAGAGACCAGTGTTTCATTTAGCTCGCTATAGCTAGCTGAAAGGTGTTCTCACTAACGACAATATGATACTGTTCTCACCAGCCGTTGGTGATCCTTCAATGAGTAAGGTCCTAACTTTTATATGGATTTTCCGTTTTGGTGTACTGGTGTATGGAGGTAAGTGACTCCTGCCAAAAGCTGGCATCGCTTACACTTTAATCTATTATAACTGTTTTATTCGTGATCAGATTCATATCCTTGTGTTAATGGTACAAAAAAAAGAAGAAAGTAAGTGTGTGAAAATAGAAAACTCATTAAGTTAAATTTAAATCTATTCCGAGTGATGATGTGAAATTTCGAATTCTCAAAGTAAAAATGGCAGAAATGGGATATTGCACGATAGCACGTTGTTGCAAAACTGCCCTGTTTACAATGCCGTGATCTTAGTTGGGCGTAAAGGAAACGTGAACGTGGAGAGAAGATCTGTTGGTAAAATTATTGCGGATTCAAGGCGACAGTTGTCCATACAAGATCTGTTAACAATTTTTGAGTTGCTGATGTCCGATTATTATGTAATGAAAACTGAAACGGAAAAAAAACATTGATGAAGACCTTGAAAGCTAAAGGAGTAATAGTATAGATTTGCTATCGCAAAGAATTTCTAAAGCTGACGTTCCAGAGCGAAGCGCTAAAGGTTATTGAGTTATACCCCCACCGATGTACCGTCATAGGTTCCTTAGAAACCCACCCCCTCATTTTAAAACCAGATCCTATTTAGAATTATAATGGTGAAAATAAATCTTGTTCTTCAATGTAATGGGTAAATAAAAAAATTATGGTCCAAAAAAGCAACTTTTCTGGTAAGGTGAATATGATGCATGAATAATTCAAGTTTGCAGGCTGTTTAGCTAAGTCACTCACCTAACGAAAAGAGAGGAAAGGCTTATCACCTGCCTTTCTTTCGAGGATGAAAGAGCGTAGCAAATATTCGTGGTTTTTTTTTTTTGTCGAGCGGCAAATCAAGGGTTAATTGTGTAGTTTCCCTGGCATTTATGGAACAACTTTAAACTAAGATTGCGATAAGACTTAGGTTGTCGGCTACCTTTAAGCTTGTGTGCCGTTTGATTTCATTTTCTCATTGGCTTTTTCATTGGCTTCTTTATTTCTTGCCTATATCTTAGACGATTGCCGAGTGATTCAGTTTAAAGCAGGAACGAAAAACAAGATCTTAACAAAACACGTCATAAGAAGTGAACAAGCAAAAGACAGGGATATCTGCGAGTTCAAATGCTACTTTGAACCAAACTGTGTGTCCTATAACTATGGTCCTCTGGGAGATGAAGCATTCACATGCGAGCTAAATAACAGAACTCATTTGCAAGTCTCTCCCAGTTACTTCGAATATAGGAACGGCTCTTTATACAGAGCAATCATTGTAAGTAAATAACCATATGAGTTTTACCAGGGTTATCGTTCCGCGAGCGAGAAACCTCTGTTTCCTCGTTTATTTATTTACCACTTTATTATTTATCTCTCTAAATACTCAGTCTATTTATTTACTCATCTAAGCTTTATCTATCTAATTACTTGATTCATCTTTTGCATTTCAGAATCCCCGTGAGAGCAATCCGTGCGTTAGTAACTCTACATGTCAAGCGGGGTTTGGTAGTCATGGTTACCGCTGTATTTGTTCTGACGGATATGAAGGAGGGCTTTGCCAAATAGGTGAGAAAGGAAACTCCCCGCGATAGCAGGTCTTCATCTCTCAGGTTTACAGTTAAAGTTACACAATAAAGCTGCAAGTAAAGTAGCCTCTCATCAAGGAGAGTTTTGAATCCTCATCTGTTTAATCAATACAGCCTTCATATCTGCATTAAAGGATATCTCCGTCACGGGGTAAGGGGCAAGTTAGATTTGTTCTGTATGTGCTCCCTAAAATGCTAGAGGTTGTTAGAAGGATTGAAACCCCAAGGTTGAGACAACTAGAGACGTCGTTATAAGATGTTCTTCTGCAGCATTAACCGAGAGGTGATATTAAAGTATTGCTGTCGTGATGTGATAAATCCTAGATAGTGGAGATTACAGAAAAACGAGAAAGAAAGAGAATATCAGAATAAGAAAGGGTGATACGAAGGGAAAACTGCCTTCATGTTGTCAACTATGGATATTTGATGCAAGGGCAAGAACAAAAATGAAACGAATAAAAGTATAAGTTTCCTGCTGAAAGCAAATAGTTCAGTGGAATTTTGGAATAACTGACAGAAATAATTGATTAATACGATCGAGATGAACTTTAGATGAAAAAGATCTATTTCAAAATAAGGAATATTATGGTTTTTTTCATCTTCCTTTCATCTTGAATAGATATTGACGAATGTGTCTTAGGCAAGGAGAAGTGTTCCTCTGATGGCAGTTGTCTTAATGTTATGGGCTCATACGTCTAACTTCTCCGTCTCAGAATTATCTTCTGATAATTTCCCTACACCTTGATTAGTCTCATATTCCATTTCTACTTAGATATCGATGAGTGTAACGATGGAAGCCATGACTGTCACTTTGCGGCCGATTGCACAAACACCGCTGGATCATTCGACTGTAGCTGTCAGTCTGGACACCTTGGAGATGGACGGCACTTTTGCTCAGGTATATCTTGATCTTTAACCCAAAACACAAACAAATGTGAGTGAATAGTGTGGTTTGAACATAACCACAGTTATTCTTTAATTACTTTCCTCAAATAAATCAATTTATTTTGCGTTACCATTTCCAAGACACAAAAACCTGAGGCTTTCTTTGAAACCTGGCAAACTTTTTAACAGATAACTGGAAAAAGGTCAACCTCGATCCTGTCTGTTTTGGGACAAAAAATGACGACCACGGAACTTTTGATATCCGAGAAGCCGGTCAAGTCTATACTTTCAAACTCGTACATACAAGTGGCTCCGTTACATGCGACACTAATCGCTCACCGACCAAATGGGGATGCTTACGGCCAGAATACGGAAATTATAACCTGATGACAGTGATAACATACAGCAACAAAACTGTTCTTCCTCTTGCTGAGTTCGTGAAAAGTAACGCCGAAAACAAACTGTATACTTACCAACTTGATGGTGCTGATGTCAACTCTCCCACGCTTGTGTTTAATTTTCTCCCCATGCCCTTGGTTGTATCTGTTGGCCAACAGTTCCAAATTTGGTTTGCGCATGACCTGGTTGGTTCTACCGAGTATAATAACGATGGTGAGACGTGTGCGGACGTTTATGCTTTGTACCCTTTAAACTGAAATTCAGCATTGAACTAAATCTGAGATTTGGAAGGTCGAATGTTTATTTATGGAGATCAAAGTTTTAATTTGATTTAACAAGATCAAGTTAGAGTCAAATTGAGAGAAGAAATATATGTATAAAGATTATTAAAATGTCATGGGGGAGAGGGTGAAAATTGGCGTGTGTTGCTGTTTTGAAGGCTAGAGCGTAATCTTCGAAGATCATTTGGCCAGCATGCCTACTCATGCCTACCGAAAGTGAATGTAAAGCGCGTACTATTAAGTCAGAAGTCAGCCCACCAGATTAACTCAAAGTAAATTAGAGTCGATCAGAGAGAAAATCAGAGTTTATCAGTCAGTCTGAGTTATAACGAGTTAAGTCAAGAGGGATGA